CATGAAATAGTGAAGATTCCCATTGGCTTAGCTAGAAATTGCCAAGTAAACTTGGCATAAAGGAGATTGGTTAGTAATTATTCATAGGAGCCCACAGAAAAAGTTGTCAAATCAGAGCAGTCAGAGCAGTTTCCTTTGTTGTTGTTGTTGTTGTTGTTGTTTTTTAACTCTCTACTGGGCTTTACCTACTCAAACTAAAATAGCAAAAAAACAGTAGTCTAATTATATGGAGACCTGGATACTTGTTCCAGTTTATAGTCAATCCCAATATCATTTTGGGATGATTGCTTAATTTCAAAGCTTTAGTTTCTTCATCTGTAAAAGAGAGGTAACCACCCTGACTAGTCCTGTTTTTCACATCAAAAATATTATAAAATGAGAAGTGAAAAAGATGCTATACAAATGCAAGGTATTATTAACTGATATTCAAATTGCAAGGGTGTGGCTAAGGAGTATTACATGTGATTTTAGAAATTTGAGAAGTCTGATAATACTGGTTCCCAGTAGACAGAGGTTCTTAATAGGTAGTTGTCTCAGGTGCTCTAGGGTTCAAATTGTAGGTTTTTCTGCAGACTCTGTTTTGTCTGTATATTCTGTTTTGTCTGTATCCCTTTTTTTGGTAGGCGTAAAAGTAAGTTCACTGCAGAAATTTTGGAAAATATAGAAAAGTAAAGAAGAAAAGAAAAATTAGCACTAGACAACAACCGTTATATCATTTTGGCTTATTTCATTCTTAACCTCTGTATTTTTATTTATATATGTTTCCCCTTTTTTATAAAATTGGGATTATATGTAGACTTTTGCTTTTTTCATTTAGAAGTTAATGGGAAAGTATTCATAATAGTCTAAAAAATATTTTAATGACCACATTATACAAATGCATTGTAATTTAAAATATTCCATACTGCCTTTAATTTTTCAATACGGTAAACTCTGAACATAAGTCATAAAGAACTAGTATCACAGAGTGGTTAAGGTGAGGACTCAGGAGCCAGACTGTCTGGATTTGAATTTTAGCTCTGACACTTAGTATCCGTGTGATCTTGAGCAAGTTACTTAGCTTCTCTGTGCCTCAATGTCCATATCTGTAAAGTGGAGATAAAAATAATACCAAGTTCATGGGTCATTAGTTGGATTAATTGGGTAATTTATGTAAAGGGCTTAGAATAGTAGCTGGCATGCTTTGTAACAGTGTTGATATTATTTGCATCCCTGAATATTGCTTTAAACTAAACCAGAGACTCGATAAAGTGTTCACTTTTCCTTTTCAGAAGATATCATCCCACGAACACAGATAGAAAGAAGGAAAACAAGCCTGTATTTTTCCAGCAAGTATAACAAAGAAGGTATCCCTTTCCCAGTCAGAACAGCAAATTCTAATTCTATTTTGGGTTTTCAATTCTGATGCAGTATGTCTGTTTAGCTCCTAGCCCCCCACGACGTAAAGCCTTTAAGAAGTGGACGCCTCCTCGGTCACCTTTTAATCTCATTCAAGAAACACTTTTTCACGATCCATGGAAGCTTCTCATCGCTACTATATTTCTCAATCGGACCTCAGGTTTGGGGATTATTATCATCTTTGTCTTATAGACAGTGTGGTAAGGAGAAAGCACTGAATTGAGGCCTGGGTTCACAGTCCATTTTGAGTGTGTCACCTGGGATAAGGCATTCTCCTTTCACCCTTAAACTCTTCACCTATGAGGAAATTAGACTAGATGACATCCAACAGACCTTTTAGAATAAAGGGGTAGATTTTATTTATTTTCTACTTCCAAATTCATTTTGATCATCAATGAAAATCAGTTAATGTTTCTCCACCCTCTTTCGTGTGTGTTTAAAAGTATCTTTTTCACTGAATGTACCTTGTGTTCTATATGCCTCTACTCTCATTATCTGCTGATCTGATCATTTAAAAGCTAATCATGCAAGGCCAGTTTTCAGCATAATTTGGACTATTAGCCCCATATATTAGCGGTGTTGGCATTTGATTCTGAAAGTGGTTGCTGGTTCAGATAATGGCTTCTCGCCAGTGGTTTAAAAAAAAAAAAAAAACCCTCTGGATGAGATTTCTAGATGAGAAACTACTTGAACATGAAATCAGCCTATCTAGAGTCTTGTAATCATTCAGTTACTTTTACTTCCCAGGTAAAATGGCAATACCTGTGCTCTGGAAGTTTCTGGAGAAGTATCCTTCAGCTGAGGTAGCAAGAACCGCAGACTGGAGAGATGTGTCAGAACTTCTTAAACCTCTTGGTCTCTACGATCTTCGGGCAAAAACCATTGTCAAGTTCTCAGGTATTTTCCTATATACCCAAAGGAAAAACATAATACCTTGTGCTTATTTAAGAGAGCCACACCTTAAACTTTAATGTCCTCAGATACTATATTAATGGAGGTTTTTCAGCTCAAGCACCCAAGACATTTAAAAAAGTCCACTTTCCCCAAACCACAGCCTCCCAGTGACCTAAACAATAAATCTTTGCCCATCACTGGGTCAGGCATGTGGGCAGAATTAGGGGAAGAAGTCAGTGAAGCAGAAAGCCCAGTTCTTGACCTCAGGGACGTGACCTCTGTCGCATTAGCACAGCACAAAAGAGTGGTTAGGATTTGGTAAATGATATGGGTGCTACAGGAATTCAGTAAGAAGGGCAGTCACAACTGAGGTTGCCAGGAAAGAGCCTTTCCTGTCCCTTTCTTCTGTTCTCTCCATCCTGCCCCATCACCACACATTTTGGGAGGGTGTCTTTAGAAGCTGACCTGATGTGTGGGATGTTGTATTCTTCAGATGAATACCTGACAAAGCAGTGGAAGTATCCGATTGAGCTTCATGGGATTGGTAAATATGGCAACGACTCTTACCGAATTTTTTGTGTCAATGAGTGGAAGCAGGTGAGGCCCACTCCCATCCATAATTCAGCACATTTGGTCTCTGGGGCAAAATAAGTCCACCATTATGGTTAAGACTATTTATTGGACACAAATGCTATTATAGTCACAAACAATTTTGTTCCTGGCTGTGGGGAAGTGGGTGGCATGCAGGTTTTGGGGTAGGCACTCCCAAGTCTACAAAGACCAGTCCAGAGGTGTGGCCTCTGACTCATCTCCAGTGGTTTGTCACCTCTGGCCCTCTTCCTGTCATTCCCCATTTGTGTACTATCTCTAAGCCTGCCATGGTTTTCCTCCTGTCAAGAGTACACCACTACAGGAAAGCAGGAAGGTTTGGGCCTGCAATGTATACTTATTGGGTTTCTCTTAGTGGTCTCAGGCTACTTTTGTGGTGACTGGGTCCTGCTTTAGCCCTGTTGAATATGCCCAGCCCTTGGCATACTGATGGTATCCTGGCACCTGATGGGTGCCCACTCAGCTTGCGACTCACCCTCATGCATTCAACCAGTAGGTCTGGCCAGGCCTGAACTGAAGGACCATGGTCCTATCCCTACTTCATCAGAGCAATCCACTGTGACCTGAGAATCCATTTTTTTTTTTTTTTCCTGAGATGGAGTCTCACTGTGTCACCCAGACTGGAGTGCAGTGGCGCAATCTCGGCTCACTGCAAACTCTGCCTCCTGGGTTCACACCATTCTCCTGCCTCAGCCTCCCAAGTAGCTGGGACTACAGGCGCCCACCACCACGCCTGGCTAATTTTTTTGTATTTTTAGTAGAGACGGGTTTCACCATGTTAGCCAGGATGGTCTTGATCTCCTGACCTTGTGATCCACCTGCCTTGGCCTCCCAAAGTGCTGGGATTACAGGCATGAGCCACCATGCCCGGCCCTGAGAATCCATTTAACCTCTCAGGGCCTAGAACCTCCTTCTGGAAAGTGAGGTATTAATACTTGACTCATGTCATCACCACCCCACACTCCAAGTCATGGTGAGTAGTCATTTGGACGGTACTTTGTAAACTGTATGTGATTACCTTAATATAAGGTATAACTTAAAATATTCACGAATCCCATGAGGTTAAAAGTTATAACTTTTAGGTATAGTATCATAATGTACTGTCACCCAGCAAACATTTAAAAAGCCAATTTTAAAAAACATATTTCTGACTAAGTTACATTAAGGTCTCTGCCTCTTTGTGTGTTGTATTTCTTCCAGGTGCACCCTGAAGACCACAAATTAAATAAATACCATGACTGGCTTTGGGAAAATCATGAAAAATTAAGTCTGTCTTAAACTCTGCAGTTTTCAAGCTCATCTGTTATGCATAGCTTTGCACTTCAAAAAAGCTTCATTAAGTACAACCAACCACCTTTCCAGCCATATAGATTTTAATTAGCCCAACTAGGAGCCCAGTGTGTGTGCTTTCTTAATGTGTGTGCCAATGGTGGATCTTTGCTACTGAATGTGTTTGAATATATTTTGAGATTATTTTTAAATAAATTATTATTTGACAACAATCCAAAAAAAGTGTGTGGCTTTTCCAAAAATGAAATATAATCAGAAGATAAAAAGTACATCTAAACTATCAATAACACAAAGCAAATTTCTATCAACCTTGCTAAAGCTAGGGGCCCACTAAATATTTTTATTGGCCAGGTGTGGTGGTGCACGCCTATAGTCTCAGAAGGCTGAGGCAGGAGGATCATTTGAGCTCATGAGGGCCCAGGAGCTCAAGGCTTCAGTGAGCCGTGATCATGCCACTGCACTCCAGTTTGGATGACAGAGACCCTGTCTCAAAAAATATATATTTAAAAAAAAAAAAAAAGCTAACCCCAAAGTCAAATAAGATTCCTCTGGCATTGTGTATTGTTGACAGCTCCACACTGTCCCTTAGGAATTGTAGATTCCACCTCAGCATCCGTTTGGTAACCTAATGTGAATATCTGTCTGCTGCTCCTTTTCTGCTCACTCACTCTTTTACCTTGGTCCCTTTGTGAAAACTCATTTCTCATCTTCCATTTGGAGTTTATACCATTTGGCCAGGCACAGTGGCTTACATCTGTAATCCTAGCACTTTGAGAGGCTGAGGCAGGAGAACTGCTTGAGCCCAGGAGTTGAAAACCAGACTGGGCAACCAGATAATGAGACCCCATCTCTACAAATAATTTTAAAAATTAGTTCGGCATGGTGGCACACACTTGTGGTCCCAGCTATTCAGAAGGCTGAGGTGGGAGGATCCCTTGAGCCCAGGAGATTGAGGTTGTGGTGAGCTATGATCACACCATTGCACTCCAGCCTGGATGACACAGCAAGACCTGTCTCAAAAAAAATTAGTCTTATGCCATTTTTATACAAGTACTGTTACTGTTCAAATACCAAAGCATTTACTATTAGAAAAAAAGGGAAAAAACTAGTTATTAAGTCTGAATTACCAACTACCATTTTAAGATATAATTTGAAAATTAAATTGATTGAATAAATGAAAAATCAGTTGTTCAGGAAACTGCCTTTGTTGTAGGGCGGTGTGAACCGGATCAGGCTGCAGTGTGATGCAGAGGTAGTTGGTTGTTTCCACTTTAGTGAGTAATAAGTGTCAGTTTTTAGAAGGATGAATTTTGACCAGAGAACAGGAAAACTGGCCACACCTCCCTCTCCCCACGGCAAACATCCACTTTATAATTTACCATCACATTTTCATTTGACAAACATCCAATTAGCATTCACAAAGTGTGAAACCCTGTGGTGGGGAGGGGCACAAAGATAAGTTCTGTACAGACTCTCAGAGAGAGAAAAAAGGGCACCTAATAATGGAAGGGAACAAAAGGGGTAAGGAGTAGGGACAAGACAGCCAGATACGGCAGCTAAGGATAGCGAGGGGCCTCTGAAACCTTGGGCCCAGCTGGGGCTGGAGGGTGGGGCGGGCTCACCAAGCTCAGGGCATCAGATATGGCTTCGTGGTAGGGCTGGTGGTCATATCCTTTCCCCTAGCATCTCCATGGGGAGTGTGGGCCCATGTGAATGCAGGAGGCGAGCTCTGTGCTAGGGGACCTCAGGGCAGCCAGGTTGCTCAGGCTCTAGGCCTGGCTTTTCCCCTTTATTGCAAGTAAGGTTGCCTGACCTCTGTACCTGTTAACTTGTCTTATAAAAATGGGATAGTGGGCCAGGCACGGTGGCTCACGCCTGTAATCCTGTCTCTTATACACATCTAGATGTGTATAAGAGACAGGTGGTGTCTACCTCACACGGTGATTGTGATTATGAAGTTCAGACATGTAGTGCTAAAATGGTACCTGGCTTGCAAGAGTGCTGTATGAATGTGACCCATGGCAACCATCTCAGGTTGTGAGGTTCACAAAGATAGCTTGTCTCAGCAAAGGACAAGTGCTCAGGTGTTTCTTTTTAACTTTTTAAAAATTGAGCTAAAAGCCACCATTTGACCATTTTAAAGTGTACAATTCAGTGGTTTTAGTACATTTACAATGTACAGCCATCATCACTAATTCCAGAAGTTTCCATTTCTTTTTTCCATTCCAAAAAGAAGTTCCCCACCTGTTAGCGGTCACTTCCAATTCCTCACCCCATCCCCTATCTGCCATTAATCTACTTTCCGTGTCTGTGGGTTTGTCTATGCTGAACATTTCACATAAAATGGAATCATACAGCACGTGGCCTTTTGTGTTTCGCTTCTTGCTTAGCATACTGTTTTGAAGGTTCATCCATATTGTAGCATGTACTTCATTCCTTCTTATGGCCATCCTATGGCTATACCTCATTTTGTTTATCAGTTGATGCACGTTTCAAGGGTTTATTATTCTCTGGTCCTCAGGTTCTGTAACTCCAAACCATGGCACCCTGCCATAAGGGAGGCAGAACATACCAAACACCTTTATCTGGCCACAGCTCACTTTGGTTCTTCCTAACCCTCTGGAGGAGGCAGGGCCTATTTTTCTGATGAGAAAACTAAGGCCTAGAGATATGGAGACCTGCTGAAGATCCCACACTTCACGGGAAAACCGGAGACTTTCTACACTAGATTCCGGGGCACCGCGCCGAACAAAGAAATCCCGCCTTTCACCAACCCCAGAACTGGGCACGGCGTGGATTTGCTCGCTGACTCTCCTAGAATTGGACGAAAAGGAGGTGGGGTCAGCAGGCACTCGGCCGAGCGGACTCGCTCCTGGCACGTGGCAGCGCTCAGCCAATTGGCGCGGGGCGTCGGTAGCCACGGTAACAGGTTGCTCCGGCTGTCCCAGCTGAGCGCCTTTCACATGACTTGGAGTTACTGTTTATCTGATACTCCGGCACCCGTACGCAAGCAAGCCCACATCTACACACATTCATACACGCCCTTCAGCACCCCCTCCCAGCACCACGACCATGGACGACGACTACGAAGCGTACCACAGTCTATTCTTGTCGCTGCTAGGTAAGTCCCGGGAAGTGGCGTCTGCAGGGAGCGCTCAGCGCCCTAAGGACGCGTGGAAGTGGGGTGACGGCAAAAACTCAGCCACAGATCTCATTGTGCCGACCCTTCTGGGTGAAGGGTTGCCATGGAGTCAGGGGCAGGTCATGTACATTTCTGAGATTTCCACCTGAGCCTAGTTGGAGGCACCAGAGGCCCGACCCATAATGACGGGAGCCCTCCAGCTCACCCTGTTTCTCTGTAGGACATTAATGTATTCAGTACTGGAGGAGAGGCACGGAGAAGACGTCAGTCTTCAAGGTTTTGGCAGTAATGTGCTGGGGACCAAGTTCTTGGCAAAGCAATGCAGCTTCATGGGTAAAAGACAGAGATAAATTGATAATTACAGAATAAGAAGGGGTGAATGCCGGGCCCAGGGATGACACCCACGAGTAAAAGGTGTGCTGAGGGTATGGGATGGGGAGCAACAGTTCCAAGCTTTTGGAAAATATCTTTACACTTGAGCTTAAAGGATAAAAGGGAGTTCTCCAAGCCAAAAGGGGAAGGAAAAAGCATTTCGGGCAAAGAAACAGCATGGCCCAAGAAGTCTGGTGTCTCTGGAAATGAGGTGAGAGAGGTCAGAAGGGACAAGATCATAAAAGATCCTGCAAGCCAGGAGATGGAGAGGCCACTGGGAGTGGCAGGACAGGAATGGGAGCAGTCAGAAAAGACCTGAGACTGAGTTGGCAGACTCAGAATGTTGGTGTGGGAAGATGAGAGCTGGGGCTGTAAAGCTTGAAGACTGAAGGTCTTCTCCATGCCCCTTCTCCAGCAGTGAACACATTAATGCCCAGTGGAGAAACAGGGCGAGCCAGAGAGGCTGACCACCTTTCCCAGGCACACAGGTCAGGGCTCTGGTCAAATGCTCAAGCTAAAGATGCTGGGAGGTGAGGGAGAAGGCCCAGGCTAGAGGTAACTACAGGGACTTGGGGACTGGTTGGTCAGGAAACATAGAAGGGGCAAATAAAGATGGTGCTCAAGTTGGCAGCTGGGGAACCTGGTAGATGGAGGTGTCTTCCACAGAGATAGAGAACGTATTCAGAGGACCCAGTTAGTGGGGGCAGGGGCACGAAGACAAATCCAGTCTTGGTTGAGTTTAAGATCCTTGTCAGTGGCTAGACACAGTATATCCCGCCTGTAATCCCAGCACTATGGGAAGCTGAGGTAGGAGAATTGCTTGAGCCCAGAAGTTTGAGAATAGGCTGGGCAACATAGTGAGATCCCATCTCTACAAAATCATTTTTAAAAGTTAGCCGGGCCTGGTGTGGTGGCTCATGCCTGTAATCCCAGCACTTTGGGAGGCCAAGGCGGGTGGATCACGAGGTCAGGAGATTGAGACCATTCTGGCTAACACGGTGAAACCCCATCTCTACTAAAAATACAAAAAATTAGCCAGGCGTCGTGGCAGGCACCTGCAGTCCCAGCTACTCAGGAGGCTGAGACAGGAGAATGGTGTGAACCGGGGAGGGGAAGCTTGCAGTGAGCCGATAGCGTGCCACTGCACTCCAGCCTGGGCGACAGAGTGAGACTCCATATCAAAAAAAAAAAAAAAAAAAAAAGTTAGCCAGGCTTAATGGCATGCACCTGTAGTCCCAGCTACTCAGGAAGCTGAACTGGGAGGATCATCTGAGCCTAGGAGTTCAAGGCTGCAGTGAGCTATGATTGAACCACTGTACTCCAGCTTGGGCAACAGAGCAAGACCCTGTCTCAATTAAAAATAAATAATAAAAAAAGATCCCTGTAAGCCATCCAAGTGGAGATGTTTTAGGAACAACTGCAGGTATAAACTTGGAGCTAATTCCAAGTCAAAAATATTGGTATGGATGTCCCCAGCATAAAGAAGGTCATAGAAACATGAGAGTGGAAGGCATTATTTGAAAAGAGAAGAGAGCTTGGGTATAAGCCTGGAAGCAACAACCTTTAAAGAGTACAGGAAAAGAGGGGCCCAAAAACGGTAGCCAGAGAGGTAGAATTGGACATAGCAAGAGATTGAATCAAGCCAAGAGCAGGGAGAATTTCAAGAAAGAGTGGAATTGTTTCCAGACACCTATAGGCTGTCCGAGAAAAGAGAGAACAAATGTGTTTTCTGGGACATCCATGGGGAGGACTAGAACCAAGGGATAGAAAGTCCAGGGAAACAAATTCTGGGTCAATATAAGGAGGTATTTTCTAGCAGTCAGAGTTTAGCATCCGCCATGTTAAGTAGAAAGTTCCACGTCACTGGAGGTGTATAAACAGAGGCAAAGTCTGCCAGTGACATTGAGGAAAGCGTCCTTGACCTGGGCAGGTGATTGAACTAGTTGGCGTATGAGCTTTCCTCGCCAGTCTCCTAGGAACATTGTCACATAGTCTCTACCCATAACTACATAATGACAG